TTTTTAAACTGACTAACATTATCAGCTCACTGTTTTGTGCTGACTTCTGCACTGTTATTTCATGATTGTTTCTTGTAACAGGGCCGGAGGTGCGGAGGCAGTTCCCTGAAGACTACACAGATCAGGTTAGAAACACATAATCCATTTGTAACTCTTCCCTCTGCTGATCTTTCTGTTTTTTGTTCTTATATTTTGCACAGACCTAACTCTTACTAGTGCATGTACCAGTCATTTGCATATGTACAGAGGTTTACCTATGTCAGGGATTAACCACTGTGGAGGCCTGATAGTATACATGATACCATTTTAATTTAAAGATGCATTTATCCGAAATAGACATAAACAACCACCTTGATTTGAAAATACAGTCATCCTCTTGCAGCTCTCCTCTCTCTGTCCTCGGCCTCTCCCAACAGATGAGCACAGGAATATTTACACAATTAAGATGCGCAAAGATAGTAAAGCCAAAGTCAACATTCTGTTGTGGCTTCATTCCCTGCTCTCCTGGGTGAAAATCCTCTGGTTCATGCACTTAACCATATTCTGCATCCAGATTGACCTGTTTTGCTCCTCATGCTGGTCCGTGTAAAAAGATATGTGATTGGGAAAAAACCTCAAATCTCTAAGGCTCAAAATTCTAAAGCCGGAAAACAAAGACAATAGGAGGTGGAGTAGTGACTTTTCTCTCTCTCCTTTATAGATCAATTCCTCCGTATGACATCCTTCCTGTCAAACTGTCTAAGTTTGTTTGTTTTAATACAGTGTAACATTGTTAGAGCATGATATTAATGACTGTACTTTGTTGTTTTTTTCAATGTCCTACAGGAAACTCTTAAGACTTTGCCCAAGTTCTGCTTCCCCCTCAACATGGACAGGTAAACATATATATTGATTTTAAGGGCATTACACTGACTTAACAACCACAACATCACTTTTCACTGAGAAATGAGTCCCTGATATTAAACCTGGGACAACATTTTTAAATACCGAAGGATTGAAAAGCTCTGATGTTAATGGTTCTGCTGTTGGTACTTTAAAAAGTAAGAAGACTGCGAGGTCATACATTCTATCTCTATCACCATTAGACGCGTCTATGGGGCATTTTTGTTCTCCAAATCCTAAAGAGTGTTCTATCTGTTGGAGCCTGTAGCTGCTACAGACAGAACACTTTGTGTTTGAGGTAACGGAGCATCTCTGTCACTCACCTGCAGCTCTGTGGAGCACACAAACAGGGGATGATGGAGGAACGAAGTAAACGTTCAGATGATTACACTTTACTACAGCTGATGGAAAAAATGTTTTCTGCCACAAATAAAGTGAGCTGAAAATAAGTGGCAAAAAACCACTGGTGTAACACAAAACACGTACAGGTTGTGTGAAGGAAAAATTGACATTGACATTGCATGTGTTAACTGCTGTTCTGTTAGTGTTACTTCTCCTGATGCTACCTGACCTCATGCAGACACCAATTCCAAGTTCTGATTTGATTCTGTGCACCAATGATTCAGCCAGCAGACCCTCTGACGTTACTCGCCAAGCAGCTTATGCTGTAGTTAATGACTGGTAAAATGTTGAAGCAGGCCCTCTCCCGCCTAGCACCTCTGCACAAGCAGCTGAACTGTATGCTCTTATCAGAGTCTGCGTTATCTCTAAGAACAAGGTCTCTACCATCGACACAGACTCACACTATGCATTTGGCACGGCTCATGATTTTGCTCAAATTTGGAAACAAAGAGGATTTTAACATCCAGTGGTAAGCCACTTAAAAGTTACAAACTGATAAATGGCCTGATAGCTTTTCTGTTATTTTTCCTATGTAGAGGGCTTAATATGAGTTTGGATGTTTAATGTGAAGGAGATTTGAGGCATGAATGCTTAGTATGATTGAATAAATACTAGTTTCTCTCATAGGTGTGTCTCATATAATTAGAATATGGTGGGAAAAGTTCAATATTTTTCATTAAACTTTGCTCAGAGTTAAAATTGTATATATTCTAGACTCATTCCACATAAACTGAAATAATCCAAGCCTTTATTTGTTGAAACTTTAATGATAATGGCTAACAGCTTATTAAAACCCCAAAATCTAGTTTGAAAATATCAGAATATTTCACACAGGGTCACAGAGGTGTCCATCAAGGACCCCTAGACACCCTCACACAGTATTGAGAAGAGCTCTAATCAGCTAATCAACTCAAAGCACCTGCAAAGAACCTTTAATTTCTCAGTCTGGTTCAGTATACACGACCACAATCATAGGCAAGACTGCTGACTTGACAGTTGTCCAGAAGACAATCATTGAAACCCTCCACAAGGAAGGTAAGACTCAAAAGTACATTCCTGAATGGGGCTGGCTGTTCACAGAATGCTGCACCAAAGCATATAATGCAAAGTTGACTGGAAGAAAAAGTGTGGAAGGAAAAGGACAACGAGCAAAAGAGAAGTCCCTTTTTTTTTTTTTTTTTTTTTTAATGATAGTAAATTTTACATTTGTTTTGGAAATCAAGGTCCTGGTGTCTGGACAAAGAGTGGAGAGACACAGGATCAAAGTTGCTGAAGTTTAGTGTGAAGTTTCCAGTCTGTGATGACTTGGCGTGCACTGTCATCTGCTGAGGGCTGCACGGTGGATCAGTGGTTTGCACCGTCGCTTCGCAAATGATTCAGTCTCCAACGATTGCAGTCCATAATGAGTCGTGTTTTGAATGACTCATTATAAATCTAAATTTCGTTAAACAAAGACTGGTTGTTTGAGACGTACGACTGTGAGGCAGTAGTTTTAGCTCTGTTTTAACTTAGATATCTTTTTTATTTTGTTTCACTTTTTCAGTCAAATGTTAATATCTGCTGTCTGGTATTTATCTTCTTTTTAATGACCACACGTAAAGCAGTTTGAATTGTGCTGATGTGGACACGTGCTATACAAGTAAACTTTTCTCTCCCTCTCTCTTTCTCTGCCTGTCTTGTGAAAATCTTTTACCCTGCAGCCTGACAGTCAGCCAGGTCAGCCAGAACTTCACATTTGTGCTGACTGACATTGAAAGCAAACAAAGATTTGGCTTCTGTCGTCTTTCTACAGGTGCACACACCAGGTGCTACTGCATTCTCAGGTGAGTATGTTTGTAAGCAGCCATGAGCCTAATACATACTCAGATTCTGATGTTGCAAGTTTAGAGCGGCGATTCATTGCAGCCCTACAATTTTGAAGATGTCAAATAAAACAACCTTCAGCAGCGTAATGCTCAGCCCCTCCTTTTGTGTCCTCTTAGTTACCTGCCTTGGTTTGAAGTCTTCTACAAGTTGCTGAATATCCTTGCAGATTACACTGTCAAAGGCCAGGTAAGTTGTGACAGGTGACTTATGTTGCAATCTGACTCTTTGACATCAGTCAGGAATTTGTTGGCCAGCCTATTAATACTGTTTGAACTTTAGTTTTTCTGTGAATTTAATATGCTTCATGATTTGCCCTGATGGACATGTGAGCTCTTTTATCCGTAGTCGATGGGTGTGTAGTAGTGTTCCTGCATATTCAGAATCAGCTGTATGCTTAGCTTTGTGATAAATAATTCTGAATGTTTGTGTTTACTTTTGTTGAATGTTTTTTAATGACTATTGCATGGATTTTGGATGTTCTGAATATGTCAGGAAAGCAAATGGCAGGAGCTCCTGGTGTCGCTACATTCCCTTTCCGTCCGTGAGCCTGGTGTCCCGCTTCATCTTGGTGTGGTAAGCCTGACTTCACATCCTACTGAAAACTGGAAACACTACAACAAAACTGTTCTCCACCCAAACTAATTACCCTTATAACATTAAAAAAACATGTAAAGTGAAATAATTTCTTTGCTTTATAGCTTTGAAGTATGAACTAAACGAGATCACGACAGTAACTTTTATCCTGCATCACCATACAGTCTTCCACTGAGGACACATGTTGATCGTATACGTTTTCCACAGTCTCTTTGCATTCCTTTCATTGCTTTCTCTTACATTTACCCTCTTGATGTGTTTTCTCTAGCATTCTTTCTTCACTGTGCCTGACGCAAGGGAGCTCCCCAGCATACCTGAGAATGTGAGTGTTATTTCTCTTCCACTGGAAGATATCCCAGTTAAATCTAAATGCCCCTTTGCATTTGACCAAGGAGAAGTTTACTGTTAACTGATTTGGATCTGCCACATGTCTGAAGAGTGTACTACGAAGCAAGCTTGACATAGCCAGGCTTTGTTTGTGCAAGCTGGCTCAACAAAATATAAAACCCCAGTTAGAGATGATGGGAATAATTGTGCATCACCTATTTTACATTTTATATTTATGATTAATTGACATTACTTTGTAGAAATCTGTTTACTTTGATCTGAAAGTTTTTGTGAAATTCTTCTCAAAATAGCCAAATTACTTTGACCCTAAATACATGTAGGTTCCCATGCTAACACAATGCCTACAGTGTGTACTATAACTGCACATCTTCATTCAATGGGATTAGTAGAGCACAGCGCAACGAGTTTGAGCTTTAAGATATTCCCTCAGCTGAGAATCTGTACTGCTCACAGGGAATCATGAGGAAAAAAAATCTGGCTTAAGGGGGGGACACTTCTTACAGCTATTTTCAATCCAAAACTGTGAATAGAACTTCCTCTGGAGCAGGTTAGCTGTGCAGCATAAGTAACCATGGTGATATAGTCAGGTTAAAAGAGAACCACCTTCATAACACTGAAAACTCTGACTTTAGGCTCAGCATACTTCGCTAACCCACTAATCTTGCTTCGAAGTACAGCCCTCTGGTAAATAAGAGGCTATGAACAGGTTTCTAAGTGATGTCTTGAGTGAGATGAGTCCACATAGAAAAAAAAAAAACAGACAGACTAGCAACTTGTGGTTAGGGTCCACACAAGGAATTGTTTTCGTGTGCGAACTGCACATAATGGATAGGAAATATTGTCAAAGTTCTTTCAAGAAAGAAACCAGCTAAAAAGGGCAGAATTAGTATTTGGGTGGAGAAGATGGTGGATACTTTTGTGGAGAAGCCGATTCTTCCATTTTAAGGTCAGAGTTTACAGTCACTGTGTTTTTATGGCGATTAAATTTGTGCAAACATTTGTTTCACACTATGAACAATACTCTGGTTATCAACTTAAAGTGTTTACAGTTTCAGTATGAAACTTGACAACAGCTGATAAAACTGCACATTGTTGGATTTGTATGGAAAATATATTATTGCACATTTGAACAGATATAAGACTTCCATCCATCCATTATCTATACACTGCTTAATCCTCACTGGGGTCACGAGGGGGCTGGAGCCGATCCCAGCAGGGGACACCCTTGCAGCCCGATATAAGACTTTTTAATTAAAATGCATCATTCTTTAAATTCAAACAAGTCTTTGTTCACATGAGAATTGTGTTTTTTTTCTAATCTTTACTCCCATAACTAACTCTCCTGTTCATTTTTCTCTCATTTTGTTTGATCTTTGCAGAGAAACCTAACTGAGTACTTTGTAGCAGTAGATGTGAATAACATGCTTCATCTGTACGCTAGTATGCTTTATGAACGTCGAATCCTCATCTGCTGTAGCAAACTAAGCACTGTAAGTAGAGCCAACTTCGTCTTCCTTCTCTTGTCTTTAACTCTGTTGATTTTGGTTTCCTGAAGATTTCAGTACTTTACTTTCAATGATCTCACAGTTTATCATTTATTCACAGTTGACTGCTTGTGTCCATGGGTCTGCAGCCATGTTATATCCAATGCACTGGCAACATGTTTACATTCCTGTCCTGCCTCAGCATCTATTAGACTACTGCTGGTGAGTTTAATGGCTGTCATCCAGACTCCAAACCTGTTGTGTTGAACAGAGTGTACTTTCTGCACAGTAATATACACTGACAACAACGACCAAGACTACATTCAAATCTATCTATGAGCACAACAACCAAACACATAGCAGATTTTACATATTTGAAGAAGTCCATGTTTTGTTTGTATGTTACTTCAAAAAGTGCTGAAGTTGCATAATAAGTTAAGTTAGTGGTCCTATTTGTTGATTTACTTGTTGCTGAAATTTTCAAGTCTCACATGGGCATTCCATCATATTTCAGTCAGTGATCCCCTGTAATCTCACATACTTTAGTTTTAATTGACTTTTAATTTTCTGTGTTTACCTGTTGTCTTGGTAAATTCAAACGATTTTACAACTTTTCAAAGGCTCTTAGTGTAACATGTAGAAAATCCTTGTTACTATTGACACTAGCGTTCGTTAAGTAAACTCTGTTAAGCATCTGATTGCTCATGCTTACACTTGCACATCATAGGTAGGTGTGAATGTGATGAAATCCCAGCTACTGACCCAAACAATAATAGGACACATGAGACAAACAGAGTTTGGGGATAGGAGATAGCTGGACTACATTTATAAGATGTGTTTGTCACTGTAAGGTTCTACTGTGGTCTAAGCTGCATTCCATGTGCTGTGAAAAAATGGTATGCTTGTTTTTTTTTTTTTCAGTGCCCCAATGCCCTACCTCATCGGAGTACATTCCAGCCTGATGGAGGTGAGTGTCTGCAACTGGTACACAGGAACCAGATCATTCATGATTTAAAAAACAGTGATTTACCGTGATGGTTTTTGACCCTGTTTTATCTAGTGTTGACAGGTTTAAAATTGTTTAGTATTAGCGCAGTGACTTCATGTGAAGTTGATTACCAGTCTGTTATCCGTTTTCTGTGTCTTGTAGAAAGTTCGAGGGATGGCTCTGGATGATGTAGTGGTCCTGAATATTGACACAAATACACTGGAAACCCCCTATGATGATCTCCAAAGCCTGCCCAATGATGTGGTGAGGAACTACTGGACAGCTAGTCAGTGTTTAAGAAGCAGGACAGTTGCTTACAATATAGATATCCTTCTTTCTTCTATTAATTGTGTGTAACGTGTAAGCTACTTGATACCTTCAATTTCTCCAAGGGGATGAATAAAGTATTTATCCATCTGTCCACCCATCCATCCATGTTCTAACAACTGTAACTTAATACACTGCAGGTTTCTTCTTTAAAAAGTCGTTTGAAGAAGGTTTCAACAACAACGGGGGATGGTGTGGCCAAAGCTTTCCTCAAGAGTCAGGCAGCTCTGTTTGGCAGCTACCGAAACGCCCTGCAGATTGAGCCGGTCAGTGCAAAGTGTATACCAGCGATAAAGGCTGTAGGGAGCAAACAAAGAGTAATAAGTCAGACTCTGGAAAGTGTATATCTACAGATAAGTACAAATAGTTCAAACAAAAAAATGATTTTTGCAAAACCAATGGCCTGGTCTAGAGGGTGCTGAGTATAAAGTGCTGAATATGTTGTGTGAGAGATGTACAATACTCTGATGATTGTTTTTTTTCTTCTGCGTTTTAGGGAGAGCCTATAACATTTAATGAAGAAACCTTTATCAACCATCGTTCCAGTGCCATGAGACAGTTTCTCCAAAATGCAATTCAGCTACAGCTCTTCAAACAGGTACAAACAGACCCACACAAACGTAGCCCTGAATCACCATGGCTATAAGCTCAATCCCAGTCCTTAACCTAACTGTAATCTAAACCAGCAAAAAAGTCCTAATGGTTTAACTGGTCTTCACAGGAACAATAGTACAAGCCCATGTGCACACATATTAGTATTTCACCCTTCCAATAAAACCTAATGCGTTTTGTGCTTGTACCTGCAAGTTCATTGATGGTCGGTTGGACCTGCTAAACGCGGGAGAGGGTTTCAGTGACATCTTTGAGGAGGAGATCAGCATGGGTGAATACGCAGGTGAGCCAGCAGCAATGTGTTTATGTACCTCTTACCATGCAGAGTGCACCTATGTAAAGTAGAATTACTAAAATAAAGGGAGGAGACATATAAAGTATGTTGCCATGTTAGTTTCACATTAAATCTAACAGAACACAAACATCCCGCTTTGCCACTTGCACCTTTTTTTTTATTTGTTCCATTTCCTGGTTTCTCTGTTAGCTCTGGGTCTATGTACAGTGCCTTGCAAAGGTATTCATAGCCCTTGAACTCTTCTACATTTTGTGAGGTTATAAGCACAAACTTAAATGCATTTTATTGGGATTTTATGTAGCAGACCAACACATGGTGGCACATAATTGTGAAGTGGAAGGAAAACGATACATGTTGTTCAAGATTTTTACAAATAAAAATCTGAAAAGTTTGGCGTGCATGTGTATTCAGTCCCCCTGAGTCAATACTTTGTCGAACCACCTTTCACTACAATTACAGCTGCAATGTATGTCTCTACCATCTTTGCAGAGCTAGACACTGCCATGTTTGCCCATTCTTCTTTGAAAAATAGCTCCAGTTCAGTCAGATTGGATGGAGAGCTAAGG